CTCACTGCTACGGCCCCTCCCGCCGCGGAGCACAGGCTCTGGACGCGCAGGCTCAGCGGCCACGGCCCACAGGCCCAGCCGCTCCACGGCACGTGGGATCTTCCCAGACCGGGGCATGAACCCGCGCCCCCTGCACCGGCAGGCGGGCTCTCAACCACTGCGCCACCAGGGAAGCCCTGGCTCCACTTTTAAGACACAAAGCTTGTGCTTCCCAACCCCGCTGCTGTCAGCCCAGCCCCAGTCATCGTGACAACTCCCAAGTGACCTCCCTGGTCCTGCATTTGCACAGGGGCTAGAGGGGTCCCGGGAGATCGGTGCCACAGCTCTCTGTGAGAGCTCAGAGGAGGGGTACAGAAACCGGGCTGGGGGCACTGCTAGGGAGGCTTCCAGACGCCGCTGGAGAGGAAAGGGGGATATACAGGTACTGACAGAATGAAGACAGAGACATGGGTAGGATCCAGGGCCACAAAGAGCTTCATGTGCCATAGTCTGGAGTTTGAACTTGATCTCAAAAGTTCTGGGAAGCCAGGAAGGATCCTCAGCCTGAGAGCTACACCGTGGGATGTGCGATACAGACAGAATGCCCAGCGGCAGCATGGACCACGTTTGATGACACAGTGGGGGGGGGGGCGGGCAGGGCGAGAAGAAAGCCCCAGGTTTGCTGGGGGACCGGACGCTGGGCTGCCTAAGGCCACGCGAAGCACCAGTTACTTGATGTCAGCCTTCTCGCACGTTCTATAAACCAATGTGAACACAGGGACTGTTTCCAAGAACCTCCTCTGTTATTGCGAAATACTCATATTCACCTTGCTGACTTTGAACGGCCTTTCCCTGGTGTGCTGTTTGTCAAACTGATTCTCCCAGTTTCCTTTGAAGTAGATGGCGTTCACGAGAACCAGAGAAGTCATGGAGTCCACTGAACCTGGAGCCAGCAGGTCTATAATTTTTTCTGAAAAGAAGAATTAAAGAACCAGTTAGCTAAAGGGCTTCCTGACGGAGGCATTGGGACGACATTCACTGGGCCGTCTTCTTGAGGCGTCAAGTGCACAGACCAAGGGGCTCGCCGTCCCCCAAACAACCATGTACAGGGAGACTGGCCCCTAAAACAAAGGCAGCGACAAAAACTTTTAAAGCTCTGGTCAGAAAAACACCATCGGTTGAATATAACATAAAAATGAACAAAGTAATATGTGCAGGATAATTCACAGTGGGAGAGAAAGGAATGTTGGATGCCTACCCTTCAGGAGATTGTCCTGAAGGTGAGAGGCTGTAGCTTGTGTGGAGAACATTTAAATTAAGAGCCGCAGGTGGATAAGGACTTAACCAAGTGTCCTGCAATGACACTCAGTAACCCGCAGAGCACAAGCAATGATGGACAGGCAGGCAGCTTGAGACCTGCAACCAAATTTTTCTTTACACTATTTGTGAAAAGAAAGATTATATTAACTTTAACAACGACAACAACAAAATTAAAGTGAAGATTGTTCTGGAAGAGGTGCACCAAACATTGATGAGGAGAGGGAAAAAGCTAGAGAAAATAATTACACACTGATTGTATTTCAAAAGTAGATTTTTAAAGTTTACAGTTATTCAGAGAAAAAAAATCATTCCTGTTTACATTTGATGTTCTTGTGAAGGAACTGACAATAAGATTAATTAAAATACTATGAAAACACCTCCTGTACAGCACAGGGAACTCGACTGAATACTCTGTAATGACCTATATGGGAAAAGAATCTAAAAAAGAGTGGATCTATGTATAGGTATAACTGGTTTGCTTTGCTGTACACCTGAAACTACCACCACACTGTAAATCAACTATACTCCAATAAAATTAATTAGAAAATACCAGGAAAGCAGAAATAACAACATATCTTCACCTTCTGTCCTTTGGGCTACCCAGGTGTTTATGCGTTTCCTGGATTCCTCCGCAGCGCTGATAAAGTCCAGCTCCCATCTCTGCGAGCAGGAATCTTTGAAAGACTAGGAGACACAGAGCAACATAATCGCATGGCTACAAAAACAATCAATGCCAAGAGCTTATTTCCTCACCACACCAAATCAGAACGTTGATAATTTTATGGTTTACATATGGAATGTACAAATGAATGCAAGGAATTAACCTTAAATCCTTTCTCAGTCTTCAGCTACATTTAATAATAAATACAAACTAAGAAAAATCATGGTCTGGATGTCAAATAAATGCCATGGACGCCGCACCAGCGAGGTCAGGACGCTGGCACTGAGATGCAGCAGCTGCAGGGCCACGGCCGTGCCCAGTGGGCTCCTACCACTGCCCAGTGGGCTCCTACCACTGGGAGGGCCACTGCTCCCTCGGTGTTTCGGAACCGCCGGCCGTGAACCAGGGCCCGTTGTCCCACGTTAACATGGGAAACCTGCACCCCACGCCACCACTTCCCCAGCACTCGTGGTGAGCTGCTAAATCCACACCGTTCAGAAGGGTGCCACCTGCGGCTACGGGCACTTGAACTGCAGCTGGTGCCACTGGGGGACTGAATACTTCACTTCACCTGCGCTGAATTAACGACACTGGGACAAGTAGCTGCGTGTCCAGTGGCTGCCATCGCGGACAGCAGTGCGTGGGGTCCTGCGTCACCCCACCCATGTGCGTCTCAGCCCACAGGCCCTCTGCTGCACCACAAGGTTCCCCCAGCCACCTCCCCGCTGCCTTGGTCTCTACCTTCTCAGTAAAAGCAGCGAGTATGACTTACTGGGAGGAAATCATAAGTCTTCTCTCCAAAGAGCCTGTTGGCAGTTCTGAGCAAGTACTGTGTGCCGCTCCTGTTAACTTCGGTGAGGAGGTTCTGGAAATCCTGGTGGACGTCTCCACCTCTGCCACTGCTTCTGCTTAGAGAAAGTGCCTGAAATCAAAAACAGATAAAAATGCACAACTTCTGTGTGCCCTGACTACAGGAAATGGATACGACACTAAAGTCAGCCTAAGGACCACACTGATCCTCACTGCAGCTTCAAACGAGATTCACCCAGTTAAAGACACAATGCTTCCTGGAAGCCACCCGGCCTCCCTCCCGCAGGGAGTCCGAGCAGTGATGGCAGGAGCAGAAATGCCCCTTTGCAAGCTCAGTTCCGTGCACCCACTCCTGTGGTCTGTCTGCAGACAAGGCTGCCCGCCAGGCCTCCCGTCTCCGCACACACACGCCACGTCCTCGGGTCTGGGCTGGCCCTGGGACATGCTCTGACCAGCAGAACACAGGAGAGGTGACTGTTCCAGGCCTGGGCCGAAAACGGCCCGGCAGCTCCACATTCGCTGTCTCGTCCCCCAACCCTCACGGTCTAAGAAAGTCCCCGCTATCCCGGTGGGGGCCTCGCGGACAGCCCTGGGGAGCTGACACTGCTCGGGCAGAGCTCCTTGTGGGAGGACAGAGGCCCCAGCCAACAGCCAGCACCAAGGCCCTTCCTATATCACGAGTGAGCCCAGCAGGCACCATGGGGCCAGGCCAGAGGCTGAAAAGCTACCATCGTCATTCCCAGCACTCAGCTGCGGGGCTGTTTCTTTTGCAGCCATAGAAGGTCCAGGCAGCCATCCAGGCAGGCATGGTTCTCCTGTAACACAAAGCTAGAATGTGGGCGCTGGCTTTGGACCCAGCAGCTGGCCGAGGCTGGAAGGACAGTGCGGAAACCACTGCCACCTGCAGCAGCGGGAAGGCTGGCCCTCTCCCCGGGGAATCGTGTATCTGGCTAAGGAGATGCCCGGGAAGAATGCAGCATGGGTAGCCGCCTGGGAAAGCGTGAGGGAAGAGAAAGACAGCTGAAGAGGAGCTATTTCATTGTCAAGCAGAATTTAAAGGAAATATTTGCAGCCCAGGACTCGCTGGGCGGAAAGTGAGAATGTTTCTCACTCCCAGCCTCTCCAGCTGGCAAATGATTCTGGAAGGCAGTGACGGCCTCAGGGCAAAGGTCAAACTCAAAGCACAGGCCTCAAGGGCAGGATCAGGACACTTGGTTAAACCTTGGAGATTGAGGCAGGGCCCCCGAGAGCCTCTCAGCCAGACAAAGGGCTTCAGGACATTGTCCCCCAGCCCAACAGAGCCCTGCCTCACGAGCTTGTGCCCATGCCCCTGCTCAAGGAAGCAGAATTTAAGCTGCTATTAGAGACCCACACGGTTCAGAAGCAGCCTGGATCCCAGATACACAGCCTCCAGAGCTGTGAGGAAGGAAACTGCAGCTGCTTAGGCCACTCAGTCTGGGACTCGTCAGCCTGAGCACACTGACACCTCCCCACAGCACAGGGTGATCCCTCTCTGTCTCTCCAGGGTGTGCCAGGAGTGGGGCGGCAGATAATCGGTCCCTTTAGTTCACAGAGCTCTGCACCCAGAGCCTCAACAGCCCTGTTCCTCCTGGACTTGGAGCCCAAGCCCGGCCCCAAGAAGGGATGAGACCCTGGGCCTTGGGAGGGCTGTGAATGCTTGGCGGGGCCAGAGGACACACTATGGCTGCCATCGGTGGCCGCAGGAGCTGGACCTTCATGCCCTGCGCAGCCCGCCTCGGGCTGGTCTGGGCTTCACTGCAGGACTGGCCTCGCCAGCCAGGCCTTGGCCAGCACATCAGAGCAGAGGCTGGATGAGCACTTGCTCATTCAAGTGTGTCTTCCAGGAAGCCAGGTACTGAGCTGTCAGGAAGGCCCGGCCACCTGCCAAAGAGACATGGTGTGGGAGGCCCAGGGGACGGGGCAGCACAGAGGGAGTTATGTGTCAAGAGCAAGGCCTTTGGGATTTGAAACATGGAGGACCAACTCAGCTGAGAAAGTAACAGCATTTACCATCGCCCAGAACTGGTTTCAGGTACGTACCTGGGACATCTGGGCCGCGGTGTTTCCCTGTGCCCCCATGAGGACCATGGCCAGGGCAGAGGAGATGCTTATGGGTGAGATAAACACATTTTGTGAGTTGTCTTCACCCAGATGTTTCAAAAGGGTCAAGGCAAAGGTGCCGTTTGCTTCCGACAGAGCATCCATGGTGGCGAGTCTGAAACGATGGATTTAAAATCAGCATCGCGTAAATTTAGGCTACACGTCGGCCGTGTCTCACTCTGCTGTTAAAAGTTACCACTGACACTTTGGTTCAGCGAGCAAACAGGTACAGGCACAAAACTCGATTTCTTTTGTGGGGGCCCTCAGAATTATCTTGTGGGTTTCTAACATTTAGTGAACACAGCTGAACAGTGACGCTGACAGCACAGAGAGGGAGTGGGCGGGCCCACATCCTGGGTACTTGCTGGGGGCAGAATGGGGGAAGGAGCTGTTCGCCTTTGCTTTCATTTCTGTATTGTCTGGTGTGTTTAAGGTGCCTATATGTATTATTTTATAATTTAAAAATCATTCAAAATGATAAATCCAACCACACAGTTACACAAGAAAAGATGGTTGAATGTTTCTGTAATGCGGGAGCAAGGCCCCCATTTAGGATAACCTGAAGCCTTAAGGTAAAAGACAAATCAAATCACATACAAAGAGGCACGAAAGCCTTAAAAACAAACACCTCTGACGTCCAGTTCTCCTTCTATGAGACCTCAGCTTGTGCCAAAGCCCAAAGCAAAGGCCCTGTCCCCAGGCCCCTGCTGCCCCCCAGGCCCAGGCCCTCCTTGCCCGGCTCTGGACGAGGGCACTTGGGGACTCATGCAAGAAGCACAGCCTCCAGCATCCCTGATGCAGTCAGATGTCACGACTCAGACCCCACACACACACACACCGCACAGGTCATCCTCTGGCCTGGGGACAGGGCCACCAAGATGGCCAGTCCACCAGGAGACGCTGCAGCCCCATGGCCCTGAACTGAGTAAGGACAGGGGTGTAGGGCCCTGTGTGTGTTAGGTCTGCTGCAAGGTCACCTGGCCAAGGAGATGTCCCACGAGCCCCCTCCCCACCCATCCAAGACTCTATTTCGCCATCCGCACGCATCTCTCCCTCAGATGCTGAAGGAGTGTTGATTCAAATGGAAAAGCCAACCTAAGAGACGCCATTAATAAAGCACCCTGTCTCTGGTAACGTCCAGCAAATTTGTTTCAGGCTCTGATCTTTCTGTCACTGATCTCGAAAAGCACACCTGCCCTCATTGCCGCCGCCCCCCACCCCCGCAGGAAAGCACTGGCCTGGCCAGCCCACGGCATCTACTGGGGCCGTGGAGAAATCAGTATACTTCTGTGTATTGTGTGAAGGGAATTGGAGGTGAAAGATCAATAGTTCTTCAACAGAAAGCAGCTTTGGTCTTAAATACTGAACTGGGAAAAACAAAGCAGGAGACTCAGAGGAAAAGGCACGGGGACCAGGTTCACAGTCCCAGCTCTGGCACCCTGAGTCAGTTACTTGATTTCTGCTCCCTCCATGAGGAAGGGGATTTACCAGATAATCTGTGTTCTGATGGGGTTGGGGCAGCCCACCCCAAAATACTGAAACAGGACTGAAACTCTCTTGTGCCTTTTTAAAGCTCATCTTGTTTGCCTCATCTGAGCTTATCAACAGACTCATGAATTTTTACAAACAAGGTATTTCCATTAGTGGATGTCTGTTTTCTTCTTGGTGCTCAAATCGTCACAAGTGGGGGCTAGTGGGCTTCTCTTTAATCTACTTTATTTTGAGATGTTGATCTCCAACACCCTCCCTTTATAGCAACAACAAGGTCTTACATCCATATTGGATTTTTTTCCCAGTCCAAAGACACCAAGTTTCAGGCCCTCTCTTGGCTTCATGGAAAAGTTGTAAAGCACAAAACTGAACCCTTGACTCCTTGAGGAGCGCATGAGTCTTGGTGCTGCTGCGGCGAAGCTGGGCAGATGCTTCCTTCCAAGCCCCTCACACACCGTGCTGTGAAGGGGAGACAGCACGTCAACTTTTCCTCCACCACCCCGCCGACTTTCCTCAAACACAGCTGAACTCAAGAGCCGCCCACCCGGGCTGCAGTGGCCCCAGCCTCCTATTTGGTTGTACCGATGTGTGGATCCCACTGTCTGCCAGCCACGCCATCCCCATGGTTCCACTCTGGACTCACTGCTCTTCAGCCTGAGCACTGCTGACCCCCCAGACACTCCTTCGGGCCCAATGTCTTCCTGCTTCACAGTTTACTCCCTTCTTTGATGAAGCGAATCGTCCAATAGCTTTCTAAGACAGAATACACACATTTTGACTTCTCACATGTCTGAAAATGTCTTTATTCTACCATCCCGTATGATTGACGGTTTGGCAGCCTCCATCGATGGGCCCCGTTTACTCATTTTGCCGTGCACTTGATGGGCCCTTTCAATCTAGCAAATCAAGAAAATCTGCCTTCCTCTCTGGGAACTGAACTTTTTTTTTTCCCCCATTTTTTGGCCACACCGTGAGGCATGTGGGACCTTAGCTCCCCAACCAGGGATCGAACCTGGGTCCCCTGCATTGGAAGCGCAGAGTCTTAACCACTGGACCACCAGGGAAGTTCCTCTCTGGGAACTTTAAGGCACTTGTCAGTTCCCTGCAGACTGACTGTTCTCTTTTTCTGGGCCTCCTACCTGCACGAGTGGCAGGCACAGAAGCTGTTATTTGTCGGGCGCTTGGGACCGGATGGCTGCTCTCTGCCCTCTGCGTGCACGGTAGAGAGGTCTGCTCTCATCTACCCCCCTCTCTTGCATTTTGCATCACAATGACGTTTTGTTCCATTTTCTGGAAGATACTCATGACTTTCTCTTGCAATCTTTCTACTGATTTTTTCCAGTCTCAGCCATCATATCTTTAATTCCTAAAGACTCCTTGTTCTCTGCTGTTCCTTCTTTACTGCCTACCCCCCCCCCCC